CCCTTCCATCCTTCCTCCCTTCCCTTGTATAAAGGGCTGCTCTAAATGCACGTGGCAGGTAAGGAAGATAGACCCCCAAGAGGGTACGGTCGAAGACGAGGAGGGTCTGTATCGAGGGTTTGGGATATACGCTTTGAAGGGCACGCGAGCAGATAGGAGCGAACAGTCTTAAAATGATTGTTGATGTTGTTGTTGTTTATTGTCGTTGTTTGCTGTTGTTTGTTCCCAACCATCCTGTGGTGTTGGGTCCTCGTTTTGAAGAGACGGTGCCCCGCGTCTCCTTCCTCCTCTCCTCCTCCGCCTCCTCTCCTCTCCTCTCCTCTCCTCCTCTCCTCCCCTCCTCCTCCTCTCCTCTTCACCCACCCAGTACACCGCTTCGTGGCTCCATAGGGAGCTCCACCGAAGGCCCCAGTGCCCGCGCCCGCATGCGTCACCCACACCCATTTCGGCACACCCCTCACACGTTTCGTGGCTCCATAGGGAGCTCCACCGAAGGCCCCAGTGCCCGCGCCCGCATGCGTCACCCACACCCATTTCGGCACACCCCTCACACGTTTCGTGGCTCCATAGGGAGCTCCACCGAAGGCCCCAGTGCCCGCGCCCGCATGCGTCACCCACACCCATTTCGGCACACCCCTCACACGTTTCGTGGCTCCATAGGGAGCTCCACCGAAGGCCCCAGTGCCCGCGCCCGCATGCGTCACCCACACCCATTTCGGCACACCCCTCACACGTTTCGTGGCTCCATAGGGAGCTCCACCGAAGGCCCCAGTGCCCGCGCCCGCATGCGTCACCCACACCCATTTCGGCACACCCCTCACACGTTTCGTGGCTCCATAGGGAGCTCCACCGAAGGCCCCAGTGCCCGCGCCCGCATGCGTCACCCACACCCATTTCGGCACACCCCTCACACGCTTCGTGGCTCCATAGGGAGCTCCACCGAAGGCCCCAGTGCCCGCGCCCGCATGCGTCACCCACACCCATTTCGGCACACCCCTCACACGTTTCGTGGCTCCATAGGGAGCTCCACCGAAGGCCCCAGTGCCCGCGCCCGCATGCGTCACCCACACCCATTTCGGCACACCCCTCACACGTTTCGTGGCTCCATAGGGAGCTCCACCGAAGGCCCCAGTGCCCGCGCCCGCATGCGTCCCCCACACCCATTTCGGCACACCCCTCACACGTTTCGTGGCTCCATAGGGAGCTCCACCGAAGGCCCCAGTGCCCGCGCCGCATGCGTCACCCACACCCATTTCGGCACACCCCTCACACGTTTCGTGGCTCCATAGGGAGCTCCACCGAAGGCCCCAGTGCCCGCGGCCGCATGCGTCACCCACACCCATTTCGGCACACCCCTCACACGTTTCGTGGCTCCATAGGGAGCTCCACCGAAGGCCCCAGTGCCCGCGCCCGCATGCGTCACCCACACCCATTTCGGCAACACACCCTCACAAGGCCCCAGTGCCCATGCGTCACACGTACAGCTCCACCGAGGCCCCAGTTGCGTCACCCACACCCAGGCACACCCCTCACACGTTCGTGGCCCCATAGGGAGCTCCACCGAAGGCCCCAGTGCCCGCGCCCGCATGCGTCGGCACCCCCTCACACGTTTCGTGGCTCCATAGGGAGCTCCACCGAAGGCCTCAGTGCCCGCGCCCGCATGCGTCAGCCACACCCATTTCGGCACACCCCTCACACGTTTCGTGGCTCCATAGGGAGCTCCACCGAAGGCCCCAGTGCCCGCGCCCGCACGCGTCAGCCACACCCATTTCGGCACACCCCTCACACGCTTCGTGGCCCCATGGGGAGCTCCGCCGAAGGCCCCAGTGCCCGCGCCCGCATGCGCCAGCCACACCCATTTCGGCACGCCCCTCACGCGTTCCGTGGCCCCATAGGGAGCTCTTCCGAAGGTCCCAGTGGGTGTGCCCGCATGCGTCCCGCACACCCATTTCGGCACACCCTTCACACGCTTCGTGGCCCCATAGGGAGCTCCACCGAAGGCCCCAGCGGGTGTGCCCGCATGCGTCCCGCACACCCATTTCGGCACACCCCTCGTACGTTCCGTGGCCCCGTAGGGGGCTCCACCGAGAAGATATTCACAATTGCAGCATTCACAATTGCATATGGTTGGGTCCTTCGCCAGGATAATGTTTGTGGTTGGTGGTGGTGTTAGTGTTGTTGTGTTGTTGTTATTGTTGCTGTAAGTCTTTTACTTGTCGAATTCTCATTTCTGAAAAAATACTGGTTGTTGACCCCCTCGGCGCAAATTATAGTTCTTCTCGATTAAAGTGCCCATCCTGGGACTCGCACCCTTTTGGCTATAAGGGGTCATGCTGGGGGTAGTACTATTATTGCTACTACTCCTGCAACTACTACTACTACTACTACTACTACTACTACTACTACTACTACTACTACTACTACTACTACTACTACCACCACTACTACTACTACTACTAATACTACTACTACTACTACTACTACTCGCTACTACTACTAC